ACTTGTGAAAGTCCCTATGAAGAGTTGGTTCCTCTTGGTGTCTACAAATTGTACTTGCTTTCTCTCCAGTGATTCTATCAAAGAAGGGAATGAGTAGAATACATTTTGGAGGGGGGGTGCATATCTAGCATTGATTGGCCCAAAGGCAGTCAAAGAATTGTAACAGGATGTAATCACTGCCCACCATTTCTGCCCTGAGGAAAGTAGGAGAACAAGGCTGTGGACACCACATGCCCTCCTCTAGGAAACAGTCCCCCAAGCACACCCATGACCAATGGCTGTGCAGGGCTGGCAACTGCCCCCTTTCTCCATCATGTCTACTCCTAGGACTTAGTGAGCCAAGGCAGCTCAGGCACCTGGACTACCCAGTCCTCAGGAACCTACCTTTCCCAGGAAAGGAAGTTGTGCGGGGAACATCTGAATGTTGCTTAGATTGCTTTTGATAAGGACCAAAGGCACAGTGATGTCCTCAGCAGCTCTCATTTTGCCTATTAGAATTAAAAGATGACCCAGCCCTAACTGGTTTGGCTCAGTGGCTACAGCATTGGCCTGTGGACTGAAGGGTCTCAAGTTTGATTCTGGTCAAGGGCACATGCCCAAGTTGTGGGCTCAATCCCCAGGAGCGGGCATGCAGGAGGCAATTGATCAATGATTTTCTCTCATCATTGATGTTTCCATTTCTTTCCTTCCTCTCTGACATCAATAAAAACATACATTTTTTTTAAAATGACCCAGACCCAGAAAGTGGCATCTTTTCTAATTTTGGAGACTCAAATCTAAAAACAAGGATTCCCAAACACTAGTGTAATCTTGGCCTGATTTGCTTCATCCTGCGTCACCACTGGTCTTTCTAACATTCTACTTATAATCCTTCTAGTCTTGTAAAAACGTTGGAAGTTCTCCCATCTTCTTCTCTGGGTCATTAGTGGAGCACAAGTCCCACCTCTTTCCTGGCTGTTGTTTAGCATATTCCACACCTCAGTGCTGTACTGTCCATGCCTTCTGTTATTTAAGCTGTAGAGAAAGTCTTTGCAGTTCTTAGTTGGAGAAACCAAGGTGTGGAAATA